CCCCAGGGCTCCATCTTAGGCCCTACACTCTTTCTCCTGTTCATTAACGACCTTCCCTTGGGTGTTGAATCGGCCAGGACCATTCTTTATGCCGACGATACATCTCTTTCCTTGTCCAGCCCTGATGTAGAGACTCTTGAGCAATTGACCTTCTCTGAAGCCAACAAGCTGGTTCAGTGGTTTGAGAATAATCTGCTTTCGATAAACTCTCAAAAGACTCAACTTCTCAATTTTCATATCTCTGATCGATCTTCTAAGTATTTTAGTTTTCACTTGGATGAAGTTCCAGTACACCCAATAGAGAAGACACCGTTTCTTGGGCTGATCTTAGATGAGAAGATTAATTTCCATGACCATATTCAATACGTCATCAATAGGGTAAGTTCAGGGATATTTGCCATCCGCACCCTTGCAAAGCTATCTAAGCCCGATGTCCTTCTTTCTGCTTATTACGGTCTCATCTTCCCTCATCTCGTGTACGCCTTGCCTATCTGGGGGTGTGAGAACAAAAGAACTCTATTTTTATTCCGCCTTCAAAAGAGGGCAATCAGAGCCATCTTTTCAATGAATAGACGTCAGACTTGTAAACCAGTTTTTCTATCATCCGAAATATTAACGTTCCCATGTCTCTACATCTACAAGACATTATCCTTTCTGCACCAAAACACTGGCAAGTTTAACACTCCAACAGACCATCATTATAGTTTGAGATCCACAAATACCCTCCCAGTTCCTAGACACCACACTTCCTTCTTTCAAAACCATCTCCGATATAATGCAATAAAAATGTTCAACCATCTTCCCTCTCACCTCAAAGCAGTATCAAACCATCTGAAATTTTAAAAAACCCTAAAATCTTTTCTTTTAAAAAAAGCTTATTACAGCGTCCGTAAGTTCCTGGCTGACGGCTAAAATAAACCATCAAACTTGTTTGATCATAGGTATCCTTAGTGTAAAAAAAAGAAGAGTTATTATTTCTTATTTAAGTAAAAAAACTGTATGTTTTGCTAAATGACATGACCAATGCATGTAATTGTTATTTTTGGTTAAATAAATGAGTTATTGAGTTATTGAAAGGTAAAAAATTCAAAAGTTTTTTGAAAATTTTGCTAATTAATAAATGTCCAACCAGACTTGAGGATTTCGATAAAAAAAAAGGTATGCCTAGCCTATTGTGTGAGTAGAACTTTGTAGAGTAGCGTACTTTGTACGCATGGTTTTGTACTCAAATCTGTATTTTTGCATGGTTTGCTTTGCATGATAAGTGACTGTAACATTGACGATTGCAATGCATGTTTTTCATGTTAAAAGCAAATAAAGACATTTCATTGTTTTATCCCAAAACTCAGGTTTTTGAGGTTGTCAATAACACTTAGCGGGACACAGTAAAATAACCACCATTTTAACTTATGTCTATGAAAAGATTAGGCCTAATTCAAAACATGTAAGTTAACAACAATAAAGCCAAAACAGAATAATAATTATAACTCTTAACATAGACTTACAGTATAATAATATCAGCTGATATAATAGGTTAAAATGCGACCAGAGAAAATCTATTTGTAGTAGGCTACTTTTTTTTAACTGCCGCCTTGGATTAGGCTAAAACAAATTTTTTTGAAAAAGCCTAAACCATAAATTAGGTGAAAAACCCACTTTGGAAATCGATGTTCATAGAAACCCCAAAAATAGGCTAGGCTAAACTTAATTTGAGTACGGTAGGCCTAGGCCTTATAAACCTGAGCTCGTTTTACAATCAAGACAAACCTGAGGTCGGAAAATAAGTGAGGGTTGAAAAGTCACTTTTAGCCCATGTGATGAACTATAGGCCTATTATGCTAGAAAACGGGAATACTTTTCATATAAAGCAACCTCTTTAAAGAGACTTTCAACTTAGCCTATTTTAAATTTTGCTTGTCTTTTACATACAGTCACAGTCTATGCACACTTTACAGGTTTTTTGAAAAAAAAAGAAGCCTTTGCATCAACAACTGCCTACAATGACCTGCAGCGCGATATTCGTTACTTGAAAGATCCGGCCTTAGAGACCAGCACGTTTTCAAAATCACAGAAAACGTACTACTATAACCCAGAATGCCAACCGCATGGTAAAAAGCATTAAGCGGTTTGAGAGAGCTTTGCCTGTCAATCCGTAGGCAGCGCCACCAGCGTTGCTATGCTATTGCCTACGGATTGACAGGCAAAGCTCTCTCAAACCGCTTAATGCTTTTTACCATGCGGTTGGCATTCTGGGTATAACTTAGTAGTACATTTTCTGTGTCAAAATGTAGGCTAGATGTTTACTCAATGACCGCTGATTGGGGACTGACGCTGATGGGTGGGGTAGGGAGAAGAGTAGGAGGGGCAAAGGTACTGAGGGGTAGGGGTGCCTTTTTACATAGGCCTACTTCACTGCAAACTCAATTAACTTACGTTTAAACATTAAGGAAGAAGGAGTAATTTATTTCATGATTCATAACAAAGTATTTTTAATATAAGGAACAACTTATTAAACAAAATACTAGCCTAGCCTATGCCCTAATTTTAAATTCAAAATTAGCCTTGGCATTTATTTAATTTAGGCCTAATTGAAATGATTAAGCCAGTTGGCCTAATGCACGTTTTTTTTGTTAACTTACTTCAGTGTAATGAGTTCCTTAAGGCTAGAGCTAGGCAAAACAATCTGATTACTTAAGCATTACATTTTTTAAATTGTTGTCACACAAACTAAATAAAAAATATAACTGAGCGGAGCGAGCGAAGCTCTTATACGTTGACTCTTATGCATTTCGTAATACGCAAACTCCTCCTAGATGGCTGAATCAATCGTTTTCAAATTTTGCATGGTGATAAAGACTGTATCGGTAAGTGCCAACATCTATATGGCGTTAAAAAAGTCTCTCACGAATCCGCCCCACTGGGTCTCAAAGTTTCAATGTAATCCTTATGGAAGCGAAGCAGTATTTGACACAAAAACAAAGACATATGATCAGCTGTGTACTTTAGAATGCAGTAGATAAAGAAATAGCTGATAGCATTATTCCACAGATATTAACTTAGAACAGAAACGGTACATGGATCATAAATACAATCAAATGACGACACTAGCTTGAGGTCCATGACGTAGGAAGTGGTGAAGGAAGTAGTAGACAAGCAGTCCAGAGTGTGGAAACTGTTTATGACGATAAGATTAAGGTATCTGCAATCCTAAAATACTATGGGAAGGAGGGGGAACAGGTCCGTGACGTAGGAAGTGGCGAAGGAAGTAGTAAATGCGAGCAGTCCCCGTCCGGAGTGTGGGAACTGTTTATGACAATTAGATTTAAGGGATCTGCAATCCTCAAATGCTATGGGAAGGGAGGGAAACAGGTCCGAGACGTAGGAAGTGGTGAAGGAGTTAGTAAAGGTGTGCTGTCCGGAGTGTAGGAACTGTTTATGACGATTAGAACAAGGTATCTACAATCTAAAAATTCTATGGGAAGAGAGGGAAACAGGTCGGCATGAAGAAGAGCTAAGGGAAGTAGTAAGGTGAGCAGTGTGGAGTGTGGGAACTGTAAACCGTTTGTAGCCAGCAGTTAGATTAATGTATCTGCAATGCTGAAATGCTATGAGAAGGGATGGAAGCATCCCCACGACATAGAAAATGGTGAAAGAAGTAGTAAAGGCTAGCAGTGCAGAGTGCGGGAATGTTTGTGGAAATTAGATTAATTCATCTAAAATACTTAAATGCTATGGAAAGTGATGAAAATAGGTCCACGATGTGGGAAGTGGCTTAGGAACTAGTAAAGTATGAGCATAGTGTGAGAACCGTTTTGGCAGTTAGATTAATGTATCTGTAATCCTAAAATGCTATGAAAAGAGAAGGAAACAGGCCCCACGACGTAGGAAGTGGTGAAGGAAGTAGTATACAGGCTGGCAGTGCAGAGTGGGGGAACCGTTTGGGCAGTTAGATAAATATATCTAATACTTAAATGCTAAGTTATGAGAAGTCAAGGAAACAGTTCTATGACGTAGGAAATGGTGAAGGAAGTAGTAAGGCTTGCAGTGCAGAGTGTGGGAACTGTCTTTAATTAATGTATCTGCAATCCTAAAATGCTATGGGAAGAGACGGAAACAGATCCACGACGTAGGGGGTGGTGAAGGAAGTAGTAAAGGTGGGCAGTGTTGAGTGTGGGAATGGATTAATGTATCTGCAATGCTAAAATGCTATGGGAAGAGACTGTAGAATGTAGGTTTAAATGATTACGAAGTACTTAAATCGATACATGAAATCGTTTATGCTAGCCTACAATAGAAATTTACACCTAAGTTGACAATAGCAGATTTTTATTCCATAGAGGCTAAAAACGATTTTTACTCCCTAAAGAGTGCTGTTTTTACTGCAGTATGACAAAAACAATATAGGCCCTAAAATGAACCCTTGATGACTCCGCTCAATTTTGTGGATGCCTCTGCGAACGCCACCTAAGTTAGTTTACATGGGTTAACACAGCTTTAGTATTACCTAATAAGGTAACCTGAGCTAGGCTTAAATCTTAATGAACGTTTACCCTAAATATGTGTCTTTTCAATCCTTCGTGAGAGGAATGCTACACAAATTTAAAAAGGTTAGGCTACTGAAATAACAATCAACATCCCTAGGTTTCATTGTTTATCGAGTAATAACAATTGCAGTGGAACTGACGCAAAGCACAAAATTGCCAGCTAGCTTGGGCCAACTAATCATCAAGCCAGGAGGGATATTGATTGTTGGACTGATTGTGGCTTTGAAGGTTGTTATAAGATATTCAAATATGAAAGATGAGTGGCTTTTAAATATCAAAAGATTTTGAATTTTAACGCGTTACTTAAGTCCCACATGATTTTCTTGATCAGCCGATTTTCGGTTGAATACAAGCCAGATGATAGCGTTTCAAGGCTATTCATAGAACAATGCAGAATTGCCAGTGCGAAGTGCGATACGCAGTTCCTAGGAATGCTAACTTACGAGTGTTACTTACCATTTTCAGCAGATTTTACGGTTAATGCTAAAGCTATAAGTACTTAAACTGCGATATATATTCACTAATTTGTACTTTAACTCCAACAATCATGATAAAACGCAATGTCTATTCCGAAAAAAGCAGAAAAAACAATCGTTTTACAGCAACAGCAAACCTAAGTTATCAATAACTCCGTACGGAGTCGCTGGTGGCATTGTACTGCCTTTGGACTTTAGAAGCCTGCATACATTTCCCCCCCCCATACTATAACCAATGTAACCTTGATTAAAAATTTGATTTTAACGTGGATTGGCCATGGCATGATAAATGCAAACAAGAAATTTTGTAGGTAATTAAAACGTTTTTATTTGAAACACAATTTGTTTTACATATAGCGTGTACATCCAACCAGAAAAAAATAAAAGCTAAAACTTGAATCTTGATGACCATGAAAACAGCTAGGATTTGTAATTTGTACGTATGTTTGTATAGGAACGGGAAATGTAAAGCTTTCAGTATTGACCAATGCTACCTGCGACAAATCAGTTTGTTAAATATTTTCAGATTGTCGTCTCACGTAATTCGCACTTATTACCTTATTACCTCCTCCTTGGCTTGATACCAGCATAAGCTGGTTAGGCTGCGTCAATGATAAACATGAAAAACACTCGCGGTAAAGACCAAGATGCACGAATACTCATGCCACGATGTACACGGGAGATGACCACGACGTTGCTCTGATCGTTTGAGTTGAGTGGCCGAATCACGGCTATATAGCCATAGCCGAGCCCCCACCTTTAACTCCAGGCCAAAGGCCTTCGAATCTTCGAAGTGGCAACGTCGAAGTCGAATATGTTGTAACAGCTGTTTTGTCTGTTTGGAGGCAGCTATAAAGCCCCCCACACACTACCAGGCCAGACCTCCAGAGTCCAGACCAGACGGTCTGGTCTGGTAGTGTGTGAGGGGCTTAATATGGTATTTGTGTGAATACACGAAAGCATGGTACTGGACGTCCATTGTGTTAACTGGGCTATGAAAATATTGACTCCACTTAGAATGTACAGAACAAAGGTACAGTAAATAGGGTTTCAATTTATTTTGCTTTGGTTTTCAATCATATGTGTTTTATTTTCAATCTATTAATACTTTTTAAAATACCAACTTTTTTCTTTGAAATGGTGACCAGCATACAAAGGTAGGTATTTTAATCCAAGTATGAATGGAGATGAGTGTAGGGAGTGGCACAACCTTGTAATCTTGTTAGTGACTAAAGGCCGACACATTTATGTTCATAAATGTATATGAATAATACGCGAATTAATGAGCTGGTGTCTCCTGTCTGCCATGTTCATGTTATGGGACGTCTGGCGCTAAACACTATTTGCAACGTTGCCAATTCTACCAGCAGGCCGCGGCCTGGAGTTAAAGGTGGCCGTGCCCGTGCCCGAATCCTATACGCTACTAATAACATTTTAGTAGTTACGTTAAGCAAGCAAATGTTAAATAAGTTTTATTTTCGGGTCAGTATAATTTGTTTAGGTATGTTTATAATCCATAAATACCGGTTATGTTCTAGATTTCATGCGTTATTTTTATCCGGTGTGTAACAGAGAAATTCACTACTTTTCCGTGTTGAACTTAGGCGATGACACACTGATATCCAGAATCCCAGTAGCTGCAAATAATATGCATGTGTATTATTTCGATATAAACAATACAGCGGCTGAAAAGGTACCAACAGGTTAAGAAGGGGTTTACTAACTAATGTATAGATTTAAAGTGACGGTTCTACAGCAATAATTGCAGTTCCCTGATGAGTTTGGCTTTTTCCTTAAAGCCTCAAGAAGTGGTCTCAAACGACACCGGATAGATCCTAAACTAAACTTGACTTTGGCAATTCTAACCAAGAGGAAAAAATGTATAACCAATGAAAATTGAATGAAAGTCTAAACATTGTAAAATATAGAAATGAGTGAAAAATGTTGAAAAGGTTTGAGTCGAGGTCAGCCATTTTTGGTTCCTAAACTTATACTATATCAACATGTCTTTACCCATATTTTTAAGACTGACAATTTCCCCTGTTCATACATATGCAGTCCATGGTGCGGGGGGGGGGGGGTATTTTACCGGGAGCCGGACTTGTGACAGGCCCTGCTACATGGGCCCCCCTATCGTGATAATATTTTTATGCGAGTATTACCATAGACTAACCAACACAAGTAGACTTCCCATCCCATTGTAAATTTTGAAGCTCGTTTTTCGTGTCTAGTTCATGTCTGGTGTCACTAGTATGGCTAGAAATTTTGTTTCTTATTTTAGAGTTAATATCATGATTTGTGCTTTACTTTTTGATTATATAACTAGAGGATGAGTTGTTTATGATTATACCATTTCATTTGGCTAAACGGGGTTTTAATTTAAATGACTGAAATAACAAGAAACAAACTGTAGTGCACCAGACAGAACTTAACGATAAAATTGGTTTCAGCTGTTCCATAAGGGTAGAAAATCTACTAAGAGAGTAGGTATGTTTTATCTTAAATCTATGGCATTAGTACCTTACGGTTTTTATGAAGACAATTTGATAAATAAAATCGCTAAAAAAAAATACTATTTAAATAGTGTCCAAAACAGAGTAAAGGGAATAAAAACAGTTTTAAAGAAAATCAACAGTTTTATTTATTAATGTATAATAATACTAGGCAGTTTATCACAAAGTCTTTAAAAAAACTAATAACCTTCTGACAATTAAAATAACAAAAGTAGGAGCATTTTCATTTTAATAACCACACAATTTCTGACAATGATTATAACAACGCTGAATCATTACTTAAAATAAAACATTAAGAAAATTAGAAAGTTTATAGCAAAGTAAAACGAAAAGACGAATCACAATTTCAAATCAACACAAAAAAGTGAGAACATTATTTATTTACACAATTAGAAAGTTAAATAAGGAAGTTATAACTTAAGGTTTAATAAAAGGTTGAATCCCCATTTAAAAACTACATAACAAAGGCAGGAGATTTATTGATTTATTTACATGATTAGGAAGTTGTTCCATAAAACTATTGAAAATGTCTAAATCATTTGAAAAATTGATGTAATTAGTAATACTAATGTCATTAACTAGATACAGGAGATGCAGCTTCAACAACATTTCGAAATGCAAACGTTATGAACTCCCCAGCTTCTTCAAGTCCCATTTCCTGCAAACATAGGATATTACTTTTAAAATAGGTAATACAGTAAATTCTGGTATTATTTTCAAGGTGAAGAGAGACACCAGATAATAAGGAATGATTGAAAAGATGTAATTTGTATGGGTGTCGACTTGGGATTAAGATTAAAGGAAATAGGCAACTTATAGTTTCAGTTAATACTAATCAAACATACTGCTGTTACAATATTTTAAAAATAAACATTAATTGGCATATTTTTTGTGAGGATATTTTTGGCTCTCTAGGAGTTAGAATTTACAAAAATTTATTACTATGGTTAAACATTAATAATACCCCTGAGATGTACTAACTAAAATTCCTTTTCTATTTCAGTTTCTGTTGTTAACGTAGTTCGTGGGTCATAAGAGTTGCTATAGCTCGCAATTATTTGTTTCATCGGTTTGACTTTGTAAAAAAGTTCCTATATTCCACAGAAATCAGTAATTTATATCAGCACAATCTGTCGGTGGCTCACATCAACTACGACGATTTTGATTTAAAAACTGGCAACAACTTAAACATGGTACATAGAATGTCTAGATGTATCAATAGTCAAGGATTGATTTGATAGACTATAAATCAGTAATTAACTGCAGCAAGTTCAGTGGCTGGCTCAAAACAACTACGTCCATTTTTATTCCAATAACTGGTGACAAATTTAACTTGGAATGGTCTAATTTAAGGGGGAAAACAATACAGAAACAGATACAGACAACAATGTTATGATTACAATCAGCTAATCCATCAATTACCGTCAACATGTGGAGGGGAAGCGGTTGGCGATAGTGCTGCCACTGGAACAGCTGATTGCTGCGGAGGGATTGTCCAGGCTGGGGTATCAGCTGACACTGTCGTGTGTCGGACTGAGGTACTACAGGCTGAGGTACCTCCCCCTCCCCAGCACACTCACACCCCAGCATACCATGAGTCAAACAGTCTACCTCCTCTTCTAATGTGAACAGGTCCTGTGTGCAGACATATTACGATTTTGAATAAGTTTTAAGTAGAGGAAGTTTTTAAAGTATAGATAGATCATGTCAATTAAGATAATATATTGGGAGGCTAAGGCTAGTGTAACTGACAAAATACTTCCCCCACCATTCTACTCCTTCTAGGTATATGTACATTAAATTAAACCCAACAGTAATTTTTGAGATGAGCAAAATAACAGAATCAATGGTGGTGGGGAAAAGCTTCCCATATTCACGCCCAGCTCGCTTGCCACTTTTAATGATTGTATATCTGGAACCCTTTTCTTGCTTGTGAATGCAATCCATTCCTTAATCAAACAATAATTATAATAAATCATTTTTGTCATCAATTCATGTTTTTCAAGGGAAAAGGGTCACTAAACATTGTATAACAACACTTCCAGTAATCCATAACGTTCTACAATATTATACAACAGATTTTTGTTTTCCGTTTCGTGTATGTCAAACTTCTAGAGTCTAATAGATTAACACAAAAATGTGATGATTACTTTTCAGATTGGTTGTACATTTCACCCAGTTTTTATATTGATAAGATGTCTATTACCTGCTTTTTCGGATAAAAAAATTTTGAGACTGAAAACCACCACAAAGAGTGATTTATTAAAAGATTTGAGACTGATAATATGACTGAAAAGCAAAACTCGTCATTTACTTATAGAGAGTGATGATGACTAACCTTTAACTCTTCTTCAGAAAGCCTTACATCACTTGTATGATTAAAGTCCACAACAGCTTCATTCAAGCCAGCTTTCTTCAACTGCCTTTGAAATATCTTCTCTTCTATGCTGCCAGTAGTTAAGAGTCTAGTGCACAATTAAAATAACTTGTAATTTGTATAAGAGAAATATTTTACACTTTGTAACATTGTGTTTAAACAAAGCAATCACAACAGAAAAGTGAAGATGGGACTTGATATTTTTAACACAGACTACACAACACTACCTAACAACATTTTTAATGAATTTTTCTGGATGCCAGAACTGCAGTGTGTTTGTAAAAGAAAGAAAAACAATCATTTTTGAAAAAAAAAATTTACAATATAAATGAGTTTTTAGAATTAATTGTAGTTTGAAATAGTGAAGACCAATAGTGTCTGGTAGTTTTTTTACAGTGGCCACATTTATTTGGCAACTGTGAAGATCACTACAGTTGTATAATTTAACTGACATTTCTCTTTCAACCTACTGTCTGAAGATGTCCTGCATGAGAAGGAAATAGCAGTGTTATCATAATTTAACAATAATTATATGAACACAACAGATGTCCATAAACAATCATCGTAAGCCAGTAAGTTTGGAATAAACAATTTATTTTTTACTTTCTCCCCCTGTACAAAATTTTTGAGTTTGAGATTTGATTGTCCATATATCCGTTTTGTTTTTTGTTCCCCTGAACCCAAAAAAGTGGTTTTCAAAGTGATGTCTGTGTGTCTGTCTGTCTATATGTATGGATGTGTACAGAGCTACAGACCACACCGAAGCCTGATGAAATTAGGTATATAGGCACTAATCCATGGTATCTCCCAGGTTTTTTTTTACATTTTCAATAGTGATTTCTTCTCATAAACACTCATAAAATTATGGAAAAATCCAATATTCACAAAAACAGAAGTAGGCCTAAGACTATTGTAGCGTAATCAAAAGGTTATTGTAGAAATAATAAAGTGGACTGTATATGGGTTATTAATTTAATTTTGACAACAGAAAATATTGGACTTTTGGTATAATTTTTAACACTGAACTATAGTTATGTTACCACTTTGACGTTATTAAGGTCTTGAAAGAAGATCTGGTCGAATGTTGTCTCTAGTTGAGAAGATATGTTTCATGAATGTCCTCACAGTAGGTACACAGAATTTAGAGTCAATTAAAAAGGGTTTATTTAATGAACACAAAAGGAAAAGGTAAATGAAATAAGTCAAAATAAAAGGAGAGAGAAATGAATTATGTTACACAAAGAAACGATATTACAAGAGAGAAAAATTGCACTTTTTGAACCAGAATGTTTACCTTGGAATGTTTACATTTTTAAAATTTTATTATTGTATTGTTGTTGACATGTGGGGATTATTTTAATATGCTCATATGGTCAGCTGACCTTTTACTGAACATACCGGCCTCCATAAAACGATAGTTTTATAACAATTAACACAAAATTGTACAAAAAACGGAGCACTGAAGAATATTCTGAATGTTATTTACAACTATTTACAGGAGGTTTGTCTTTGAATTTACGTGTTAGCTTCTTAACAGGCCTCCCACACGAATTATGCCGGAAGCATCCAGAAAAGGGTCTAAAGGTTGAAGATTAGAGGTACTGGGTGTGTTTTTGAGAAGTAGAGTCAATTCATTCGTAAAACATGTAGCTTGTACACACTTGATGATCGTACGCTCTGAGTTCTTAAGTTCAGAGACGGTGAGATGCCCATGTCTTCGGTCAGAGCTACGTGTATTGTGGATAAACCGCAAGACATAGCTTGTTACTCTAAGTAGTTTGGACCACGATGAGTACTTGGAGAGAAGATCCCATTTTGGAGGTTGGGTTGAAACTAGGACATTTAGAGGAGTAGTTTTACATTCTTGAGTGTCTTGCAAGTTGATGGGAACGAAGCGATTAGATGGCCAATGATCATCTGAAAGAATTAACCATGGAGGGCCATTCCACCATAGAGGATGATCAATGAGTTGAGCGGGAAGCAAACCACGTGACGCACAATCAGCGGGGTTGTCTGTTGAGGGAACGTAGCGCCAGGAGTGAGAGGGGATCAATTCTTGGACTTGAGCAACTCTGTTGGCAACATACGTTTTAAGTCGATATGAGGGGGTGTGTAACCAAGAGAGGGTTACTGATGAATCACACCACAATGTAGTTTGAGAAAGGTCAATCTTTTCTTTGAAAATTGTACAACAGTAAGTTGTGAGTTTTGCAAGTAAGTGTGCACCACATAGTTCCAAGCGGGGTAGAGTAACACGTTTCAAAGGAGCTACACGTGTTTTTGCGAGAATCTGACGAGTGATGATTTCTCCAGTTGAAAACTCACAGCGGAAGTATAAGACTGCTGAGTATCCTACTTCGGAGGCATCTGAAAATCCATGGAGTTGTAAGGAACATGTGGTAGTGAAATGAAACGAGCGAGGGATCTTAATCTGCGAAAGTAGAGAGGTTTCGTCAACAAAAATATGCCATTTTTCGGCAAGTTCATTTGGAAGAGTGTCATCCCATTGGATACCCTGTGACCAGAGTATTTGCATGAGGGTTTTTGCCCACATGGTCACGGGTGACAAAAATCCGGTAGGGTCGAAAATGCGTGCTATAATGCTCAACACTGATCGTTTTGTAGGAGGACCATCAGGGAGACTTAAGTTGTAAGTGAAACAATCTGAAATGGGTGACCAATGTAGTCCAAGAATGGCAAAATGAGGGTGATTAGTGGCTTCCAAAAAGACTGGTGTTTCTAGATGATCTTGAGGCAAATCTTGGAGTATTTCTGGGCAATTGGATGTCCATTTTCTTAGCTCAAAACCACCACGTGCAAGAAGTTCAATCAGCTGATCTCGTAGTTGCTTAGCTTCGTTGAGTGTATGAGCTCCACAGATGATGTCATCCACATACGTATTATCCCGTAAAACTTTGGCTGCTGCTGGGAACGACCCTCCTTCGTCGTCAGCAAGTTGATGTAACGTTCTGATGGCATGGAAAGGTGAACTGCTTAGACCGTATGTAACTGTCGTTAATTTGTATGTGGAGATTTCTTGAGTCTTTGGATCACGCCATAAAATTAACTGATACTTCTGGTCGTCAGGATGAACTTGAATGCAACGATACATTTTCCTTATATCGCAACTGAACACATAATTATGCGAACGAAAATTCAACAAAATGTCACAAATGTCAATTTGAAGTTTGCGACCGGTTAAAAGAATATCATTTAGTGAGACACCGGTACTGGTTTTGCAACTACCATCAAAAACTGTACGAAGTTTCGTTGTACTACTGGTTTCTTTCAGTACACCGTGATGAGGCAAATAGTAGTGTGGCTGCGAAAGATCGGAAGGGGATGCTTTGACCATGTGTCCGAGATGTTCATATTCAGTCATAAACTGTGTATACAATTCCTTGAAATTAGAGTTGGATTCAAACTTTCGTTCAATTGAGTGAAGTCTATGTTCAGCAGCAGATTTTGAAGTGCCCAGTGGTTGATGTTGGTCCTTGAAAGGGAGTCGAACCACATATGTTCCATCTGGAGAGCGGGAGTGAGTTGATTTGAAGTGATCTTCAGCGATGCGATCATCTTCAGAGATAAGATTGCACTGCGGTACCTCTTCTTGTTGCCAAAAGCGAAGTAGAGTATTATGTAACTCGTCTGTAGTGGATAGTAGAGACGAATGGCATGAGGTGGGAGAAGAATTAGAAAAAGTTGGTGCATTGCCCATTAACACAAATCCCAATCGTGTTCCAATAACGAATGGAAGGTTTGAGCCCAATGGGTAGGATTGATGAGTAAGAAGTTCTGGAAACAAAGCACCTCCTATGAGAATGTCAATATTCTGAGGAATATGAAAGGTCGGATCTGCGAGGACAAAAGGTTTTACTAGTTCGTAAACCTCAAAAGAGAGTTGAGTACGCGGCAAAGGAGCGGAAATTCTATCTAGAATATGGAAAGGTTGATTTGAAGCAATTACTTCACTGCCTAGTGTGGATAGTTCCAGGAGTGCATGTCCTTTGTCGAGGATTGCGATGCAGAGATTCCCACAATTGTGTGAGTAGAGCGGTGACGAGAGACGTTTAATAGCTGTGCTGCCCTCTCTGTCATGAAGTTGAGTTGACTTCCACTGTCGAGCAGACATCGAAAGACATGAGAGATTCCATTAGTAGCGGTAATTTTAATGAGAGCGGTGCCTAGAAGTACCGTAGTTGCAGGCTGAGAAATCGAGAACGACATTTCTGGTTGAGCAGAAGCGACTACAGAAGGTGTAGCAGTTGAAGGTTTTGAGGGTTTGGCTATAGGAGGAGGCTGCACCGACTTTACAACATTTTCGAAATGTAACAAGGTATGGTGTTTTTGTTTACATTTAAGACATGTGCCTGTTGAGCGACAATCTTTGAGTGTGTGATTGCCAAGACATGAAATACATTTATTTTGCTCCTTTACAAGTTTGTAACGCTCGTTTGGAGATTTCTTAGCAAAAACCTTACACATGTAGATTTTGTGATCGGTTTGTTGACAGGCAAAGCATGATGGAAATGTCTTTACAGAAGTGGAGTGATCACCCGAGCTTACAAGTGCAGTATAGCGGGTACTTGGTTTGGAGTAATTTTTACTAGATGTGAGGGCAGACTTTGAATTAGCCTTGTGACAAAAAGTTGAAGAGTGAAGGTTGGCATCTTCACTGTTTGAGCATTCTTCATTGAGAAATTTAATGATTTCGTCCACAGATGGTAACGAATGAGTTTCACATGATTTGAATGAGCGATAATGTTCAAGTTTTTGCCGTAAATTTCTATCAAGTCTACGGAGCAAATGAGCTGACAGCAAAGGATTGTCATTTGTAGTGATGTCACTTTCTAAAGCAATAAGTGATTGTGTATGTTCCAGAAAATGATTTAGAAATTCACGTATTGATTTTGTATTTTCAGATGTGGCAATGGGAAGATCCAATATGGCATTTAAATGTAAAGCAGTTAAGCGTCTGTGATTGTGGTATCGATCGCGCTACAAATTGTACGCGATTTCGTAGTTAGATGCACTGATGTTTAAGTTTTTAATTAAATTTAGAGGTTCTTCAGTTAGACAGCTTAGTAGGTATTGAAATTTTGATACTGGAGACAGAGATGTGTTGAGGTGTACAGCGCTATTAAAAAGATTGATGAAATTAATCCACTCGGCTGAGTTTCCCGAGAAGGTTTTCAAGTCAAGTTGCGGTAGGCGGACAGGTTGCATGAAAGCAGTACAGTTGGAATTATTCACCATTTCTTGAGGAGGAGATTGAGGTTCGTCAACAGGGATTAGTGACTCTATAGTACTACAAAGATGGATACATAGTTCACCAACAGTGTTTTCATCATCATTTAGAATAATGTCATCGAGTTCTTCGTCAGAACAATGTTCTAAAACGCACCTGAAATTTAGTTCAAAGTCGTCTCGCTTTTTCCTGATTTCATCTAAATAGTTATGAAGTGATTTTATTTGCACAGAGGATAGGTTGTTTGCTTTAGCACTTTCATTAATAGAATCTATATTTTCTTGAACTTTTCCAAGCCTAACTTTGAATTGTTTGGTTAGTCTTTTATAAGTACAAACCTTAATCGGGGCTAGGTTCACAGGAGCCATCATTGAACACAAATACAGTCAAAATACACAAGACACAAAAGTTATTTCACACTTCGTTACATAAAAAAATGAATTAGGCTAGTTCAATTTAAATAGTTTGTGGGCCTAAAACTCGGAACCAATCAACAAAAAATATAAACACTGAAGGATTGGTATAATGTTTACAAAATGACTATAATGTCACAGAGTCTTTCATTCATTGGAGTAGGCCTATTAGGCTAATGTGATCGAGAGTGTGAGAGGGATAAAGGTAGAGGGGGAGTACAAAATATGCGTGAACGACAATATTGAGAGTTTATGAGGTAATGTTCGTCTTTAATCTTCACCAAAAGTCCACATAATTAGTTCAATCAATTGGTTAATCAACAATCCGGCTCGAAGGACCAAAGATGTAGCGTAATCAAAAGGTTATTGTAGAAATAATAAAGTGGACTGTATATGGGTTATTAATTTAATTTTGACAACAGAAAATATTGGACTTTTGGTATAATTTTTAACACTGAACTATAGTTATGTTACCACTTTGACGTTATTAAGGTCTTGAAAGAAGATCTGGTCGAATGTTGTCTCTAGTTGAGAAGATATGTTTCATGAATGTCCTCACAGTAGGTACACAGAATTTAGAGTCAATTAAAAAGGGTTTATTTAATGAACACAAAAGGAAAAGGTAAATGAAATAAGTCAAAATAAAAGGAGAGAGAAATGAATTATGTTACACAAAGAAACAATATTAAGAGAGAAAAATTGCACTTTTTGAACCAGAATGTTTACCTTGGAATGTTTACATTTTTAAAATTTTATTATTGTATTGTTGTTGACATGTGGGGATTATTTTAATATGCTCATATGGTCAGCTGACCTTTTACTGAACAACTATGATAGAAATTTGGTAGTTATAGTCCTTCAAATTCTGGCCAAAACGGTACAGCGATATGCAAAACGGTATGTAAACATTACTCTATAGTCCAAAAGTTAATTGTAACTTATGTAATTTCCCCATAAAAACCCCATTAAATTAGAAACAATCAAAAATCCTTATTTTTAGTTACCGGTAGATATGTACAGTAGAACGTTGTCCATCCCTCCACACTCGGGCCATAGCTTGCAGATCAGAGGCTGGGTTCCAGTCCGGGTCAAACAGAACTAGTCGTGACGCGCCTACCAGGTTGAGGCCCACTCCACCCGCCTTAGCGCTTAGTAGAAACACTCCTTGACAACATAAGACCACGTGTACATAAAATCATAGGCAATCATACAGAAAGTCATAGGTTCAGTAGGGATGGACGGGATTGAATTTTTAGTTCGGGACAGGACGGGATTTTTATTTCCTTCCCGATTTTTGGGACGGGATGGGATTTTTTACTGTGCAAAAAAGGGTTTGTTTTAAAAGTCTTGAGTATTGCGGTTAACAAAAGGAGACAAAAAAAATAATTTTTACTATTTGTGGCAATGATTTATAAAAACCAATAATGGGTAAAAATGTACAGGTATAGAAAAAAACGTTGTAACTAAATTATGTCATATCTGATGTAATTTAACTGTAAAACATGAGTCTCATGATAAAATAACTTACAGTTATTGAAACAGACTATCTTTCACTGCATTTAAAAAACTGTGTAGAGTTTTAAGGCCTGAATTGGTTATGAGAAGAAAAGCAGTTTAGCTTATTAATCCTAAATTTTGACATGTATTGCTACCCAACACAATATTGAGTTCACGACATGATCGTCAAAATGACTCACAGTCACGGCGCGTTCTTCGAAATACCTTCGCCTCCTGCGTTCGTGAAACTATCGTGAACATCTCTCGCAATAGCGGCGTCATCGTCACTCGCGAAGTGGCAAAATCGTCGACGATCGGATCAAATCCCGTCCCAAAAAATTCCTGAGTAAAATGTAATCTCGTACTGAAAATTGGGGAAAATTTTTTCCCGAATATTTCCCGAAATTTCGGGACCCGTCCATCCCTAGTAATCAGACGTCCTTAGTATTTTTCTCTCCAGTCTACCTTCTGAAAAAGTCCTACATTAGGATGAAGATGAAATATCAGTCTTTGTGTATCTATTAGGCCCTGGACACTTACCCATGTAAGCTAGCAGAACTTTAATACTATTTAAATTAATCTGTAACCAACCACTTGGCAAACACTATCAACTTACTATTTTGAGAATGTTTTGAGTTAAAGTTGTTGACGATGTCCACTCTACGAGATGAAGGTGTGTTTCCATCCAGGCGGCAGTGTTGGAAGCCATACTGATCACAGAGGGCCTGTAGTAGATCCAGCGTCTGATCAACACCAATAAAGTTTTACCAACTAAATATTGTAAATAGAGTTTTTATGTTAATATATTTTTTAGATTGCTAAAACAAACCAAAAACCATCCATCTTAAATTAGAAAAATATCAAGTTCAGGTTTGCTGTCGTGGAAGAATTCATAGTGAAAAATAATGAATAGAAAATAATTTACAACAATACATTAATAAACTTGTGTTAATTAAAATAAAATTCTTTACAAATTAAACACATTGACAGAACTCACTGTTTTGAATTTGTATTAAACCTACCTAATCTTATCAATTATATAAATTTGATTATAAATACACATAATTACAGTAAAAACGCGTACAATTTTTTGCAAATGATTTTTTCAACTCTCAACAAGGCAAAAGACTTGATTTTACCTGTGTAAAGTAGGAGACGAGGACAATTTTTTCATTGTTCTTTTCAATGGTGTGCAGCAACGCTTTGACTACGCTGAGTTTACTTGCATCTTCAATCATCACTTGGTCTCCCGTGAGGTGAGACAGTTCAGCAGTCAACAGCTCTGATAACTCATCCTGGGACCAGGGTTGGTACTGATTTTGGAAAATGAAATTCCCTGACTTTTCCAGGTTTTCCAGACTGATATTATACTTTTTCCAGGAAAAAGTATAATATCAGTCTAATATCAGTCTAATATCAGTCAAGTATAATGTCAGTCAAAATATCGAATAGTCAGAATCGAGAATTATTAGAAAAAATGTAGGCCTAAATAGTTTACTCATAAAACCAATAAGAAAAGAATTAAACATCTGGAATCTGGAAAATTAAGAGTACCAACTAACTTAACCTCACACTTTATGTTCTACTTGGCCTTGACTTGACACTAGCAGATAGACGATACGGTGCTTCTGATACTGATATATATATCGATATTTTGCTTGCGATATCATCGGCTTATATCGGAAGAAACATGTGATATAGGAAAAATAACTACCATGCTTGTACCGGAGACAAAAAGTAATACCAAACTAAACTATTAAATGTTTCAACTAACAGGATAACATTTTTTTTATAAACTCCTACAAGTGCAGTTTTTTTTAGTTTATTAAAGGTTGAATCAGTATTGAAAGGGTAAAGGTGTTGAACTTTTCAAAGACTATACTCCGGGAAATAAAAGTATTATTAATAAAGAAGGCTTGTCAGAATCTGAGTGGAAAGACAGTATAAAAATGATTGCAAATGTGGTGCCAGTGCGTGTTCTCCACAGCAGAAGTCAGGGCAATAACCGCTGCAGGCATGCCTGTGGTGAGATTGAAACCCTTGCACATGCCCTTGGCTTCTGTCCGTTTGGTGAACTTCTAAGAATCACTAGGCATCACAAAATAAGATGTATCATAGCAAATGCCTTCCGAAAAAGGTATAACACATGGGAAGTGCAAGAAGAAGTACACTGTCTTTCTTCTAAAGGAAGCACCAGAAGAGTAAATATTTTATTGATAGAAAGAGAAACTAACAAAGGCATAATTCTCGATTCAACAATTCAATTTGAAATAAACATAAATCAACCTAACGAAGTAAATGAAGAAAATAAAAAAAATATGATCCTACCTTTGAATATTTCAAGCAAAATTTTTAAATTTGGAAAGTTGAGGTGATTGGATTGTTTATTGGTTCAAGAGGAACATTATCAAAATTTTTTGTGAACTTTTGGAAACAATATGATTTGGACAGATCCTTTTTGAAAATTATTACTCATGAAACATTAAGAGGTTCATTGAGCATAATGAGAAATCATCTATATGGCAAACATCAAAATTAATCAGTCTTATACAATTTTATCTTGTATAATTTTTTCTGTGTCATTGGCAACCTTATTTTTTAAGGCAGATGTATTTATTTTTATAAATAAATTCTTTTCTCTTTTTATAAATTCAATGAGGAATTGTATTCAGTATCGTATTGAAATTGAAACGATGAATGTAGGCCTATCCTTCCGCGCATCCCGGTACTAGCAGTGTTTCCATACGTGGGATTATTAACTTATCCCGAAAACTTTTCAGAGCCAGCTTAGCCTTAGGACACATTCCCTTAGGGTGGTGTAATTCACGTATCGCATTTATTCCTAAACCAGGAAGGGATAGTTACACTGATCCTAAGTCATTTAGACCCATTTCTCTATCTTCTTTCTTCCTTAAGATCCTAGAAAAGTTGGTCTCAAGATATATGATGGATACAGCTCTTAGGACACATCCTTTTCATAATAATCAGCATGCGTATGTCTCAGGAAGATCATGCGAGACTGTGTTGCACCAACTTGTAAGCAAGATTGAGAAAGCTCTAGAGAGCAGTGAAGTGGCCCTGGGTGCCTTTCTCGATATTCAAGGTGCTTTTGATAATACTGGTACTCCAGCAATTCTTAATGCGGTGAGAGGAAGAGGTTTTCACGGTATAATATGTAGATGGATTGAATCCTTGCTTCACAGTAGGAAGGTTAGGCTCTCACTCCATAATGACACGATCGAGGCAAGAACTACTCGAGGATGCCCTCAGGGGGGGGGGGGGGTTCTCTCTCCTCTCCTTTGGAATTTGGTAGCAGACGACCTTATAAGGACACTCAACAAAAGTGGGGTTTTCGCCTTAGGTTATGCTGATGATGTTGCAATCCTTGTGGTTGGAAAGTTCCACGGAACCATAACTGACCTTATGAATAGAGCTTTAAGGGTAGTGGACCGTTGGTACCAGGAAGATGGGCTCTCTATAAATCCCAGGAAAGTTGTAATAGTACCCTTCACAAGAAGGAGGAAACTGGATGGGATCGGCCCACTAAGACTGCAGGGCACTGTAATAGAGCTGCAGAATCAGGTGAAGTATCTTTGTGTAATTTTGGACAGATCACTTCACTGGGGACCACATCTTCAAAAAGTCACTGAGCGTGGCAAATGGTCCCTTATGGCATGCAGGCGGATGGTAAGTGGCACATGGGGGTTACAGCCTAAACTTTTATGCACTGGCTGTATGTATCTGTTGTTCGACCCGCCCTTACATATGGTTCGCTTGTGTGGTGGCCAAAGATGGAATCTACTATTATAGTAGATTCCATCTTTGGCCACCACACGAGTTCCATTACCACTGTGCTTGGCAGGGCAGTATAGCTGTCAAAGCTTTAGCAGGAGTTCAGAGGCTTGCTCTTATAATGATAACTGGGACAGTAAGCAGCTGTCCTGGAGCGGCTCTTGACTGTCTGCTTGATATGCTACCTATCGACATTTACATCAAGGTGGTAGCAAGTAAAACAGCCCAACGCCTTAGATGCGAATACTTATGGATAACCTCAGGAAACAATAAAGGGCACTCCAAAATTGTTCAGGTGGTACATAATGATGAATTGCACTTGCCTTCAGATCACATGTCCAAAAAATACTCCTTTGGAAATCCTTTCAAAGTACTAATACCAGATAGGAAGGATTGGTCTGGCGGAAAAGGACCCATACCCACAGGTGATTTAGAATGCTATACTGATGTTTCTAAGATCAAAAATGGGGGCACTGGAGTAGGTGTGCATTGGATGAATGGAGGCACTGGCATTTGTCTTCCAATGGGGGTATACCCAACTGTCTTTCAAGCGGAGGTCACTGCCATTCTAGTTTGTGCTCAAGAACATCTTAACAAAGATATCAGAGACAAAACAATCAATATCTATACTGATAGTCAAGCGACCTTAAAAGCATTAAACTCTTACGAATTCAACTCCAGGCTCGTGTGGGATTGTTTTGCTTCTGTGTCTGAGTTGGGTAGGAGAAATGACCTTACGCTTTGCTGGGTGCCAGGACACTCAGGCATTAAAGGAAATGAAGCTGCAGACAGATTGGAAAATACTGCCTCTGCGACTTCAATGATAGGCCCACAACCCTTCTGTGGCATCTCACGAAACAGTGCATGTTCTGCGATTGCGTCATGGGCCAAGGAAAAGCATCGCAAACGCTGGGTCGATGTTCCCCTTCTTAGGGTCAGCCAGCTTACTCTGTTTAGGCCTTCTAAAAAGGTTGCCTGTGACCTCTTGAGACTAGACAGACGAAGAATTAAATTAATTGTTGAACTGATAACTGGTCATGGAAGATTCAGGAAACATCTACAACGGATGGGCTTATATGATGGTGAACCGATCTGTAGGTACTGTGATAGGTCAGAAGAGACAGCTGATCACTTACTCTTTGATTGTAACGAGCTCTTTGACGCTAGATCGATAACTCTTGGAAATATGGCTAGAGGTAGATACCTTCCTGAGGATGAACTAATTGGGAAGCTACAGGCATTCATTGGGCGCCTTAACTTGTAGGTCAACAAGAAAGCAAAATTATTGCGCACCCCAAATAATTCAATTTCGGATGAAGTGCTTAAAGGTCTCTTAAAGACCTGCCCCTGTCAGATAAGATAAGATAAGATCCCGAAAACAGGATTTTTAGAGCATGAGTGGGATTTGAAGGGGATGTGGGATAAAACAGGAGTTTTGGCTATGACGTCCGTTTTTATTTACTATGCTTTTATTTTAGTGAAAAACTAACCCCAATCGAAAAAATTACCTTAACAAAATATAATAGCAATGTTAAAACAACTATTTAAACGAAATATGTCCAATTCAACACTCAGAATTTAACATCAAAAATCTTAAGGGATTAAACGGGATTTCTTAACCAAGTGACCGGGATTATATTCTTTTGGTCGTGTAGAAACACTGGGAGCTCGGTGCGTTCAATTAAGCCAGTAATCAGAGGGTGATGATAGAATGTCTGTCGATGTTCGATGTTTTTTATATCGATGGTAGGTTCCAGATGTTTTTGTTACATCGATGTTTTCGTCAAACTTCGATGTTTTTGACCAAGTATTGAGACCTAGATGCAAAATGTAGCATATCTGTAAAAAAATTTAGTCTTTCAAGAGAAATTCCAGATTTTTTCCAAAATTCCCTGACTTTTCCCTGACTTTTCCAGACCAACAAAATTCCCTGACATTTCCAGGTTTTCCAGGTTTTCCCTGACCGTACCAACCCTGTGGGACAGAACCAATAAAACTTAACTACACTTTGCCTACAACGGTCATAAATCATAATCTTATCAACAGTGACTTGAATATGAGATAGTCTGGCATACAATATTTTGTGCCTTAACGATTTTGTGCTGGTTGCCTACTCGCAAAATATGTTCTCTCTCTGAATCTGCATTAGGGCATTATGAATTTAATCATCGCCTGCGGCAAGGTGAAAAAAGACAGGTTTGGGGGACTTTATTTTAGCTAAGCCCGATTTTTTTTCTGTGATTTTTAGGATTTTTAAGTGGAAATCTATTACTTTTCAGTGACTCTTGCACCCCCTAGTAAAGTCAGTGACTTTTATGTTACTTTAGAGACCGGTAGTGTAATATGGAAATTATCACATAAAAAATAACTAGCAACAGGTCCTCCTCAATCATCAAAGCCGTCTTGAAAACTAAAAGTTAGAATGCTTGCTCAACTGTAACACCAGTTGACACTCCTGTGACACCTGTGATACCACCCATGGTCGCCACGTGGCCGTAGCTTTAATACTCTATGTAGTTACTAACATTCTCTTTGTCACACTCATTGTCCCGTAGCAGCACAGGGTGACTGCTGATCTTCTTGAGGGCTGTGATGACGGCCAGGTGACTCACTGATCGCTGCTCCCCCTCCTCCCCCTCCCAGCACGAGATGGCTGCTCGGAACAACTCCAGCTGTAAAACGTAACCGATTAAAACAACTCTTTGTAGCATTTTGTATGGTGCTACACTTTTCGATAAATCTACACCTATACTGTATTTCCCAAACTGTGGCCACTGTGGTGGTACGCGGTGACGTAATAAAAAATAATAACGTAAATAACGAGTATTAAATGTCAGGATTGTTTTGATTGGTGCATCAACATTAGTTCATGGTCCTTCATCAACTGTGTACAGTCATCAAGAAGTTGGATTTTGTTAGATTATTTTGTTAGAATTAAGAATTGCATTTTCTCATCAAATAATTGGGCAAATTACAAAATTTCATTAATAATCCTAGCCTTTATTCATTTATAAAAAGTCTTTCATTCTTGCACAATCACACATACCTAGATCAAATAATTATTTTTTGAGCTAGCTAGGGACCACTGTAATTAGTCTAGATAGGCTAACGGTTAACGAATGTTACTTTTACTTCCCTCATAAGCACGTGATTTGTATTACTAAACCGATTTTATAAGACAAACTGTTCTAATGGTTACCATACCAAGAAAAATAGGAACTTAACTTAGATGATTAGTGTTTTTAATCCTACTTCCTACTAATAATATTATAAATGAGAAAGTTTGGATGTATGGATGTATGTATGTTTGTGACAAGTAAACGCGAAAAATACTGGTCGGATTGGGCTGAAATTTTGCATGATGATAGCTCACATTCCTGATTAACATATAGGCATATTATTATTTCAAAAATCCTTTCGGGCTCCACCCCAGTGGCTCTGCAGTTTCCCATGTTAACCTTATGAGTATTCATATTTAAAAGAAATTAAAGAAACTAAGCCAGCTGTTTCAACTAAAAGAGTTGGTTATATGATATGCAAAAGCATTAAAAAGTTTTCAGATTTACCAACAGGGTGCAGCACTATTATTTTTTTTCATTATTTATAAACACTAGTGTACATGTTGCTCGAATTCGAGCAATTACAAAGTATTACTGGAGTTATTTAAAAACGAATAACAGTCATATTTAAAATGAGTTTAAAAGAGTCAATTCAAAGATTACCGGTGTGTAACTCAGACCATGTTTATCTTCGTTATTGATAAACCTAAAGCATTCCGGCCGGTTTTCTCCTTCTCAAAATGCCTCGCAGAAGGCCTACAGGCAACACTGGTCATTGATAGAGGACCAATTGAAAACGAAAAGTCGTTTTGGGGTAGTGTTAGGGCGCATTTATAACCTAATACTTGAGATTATCCAGGGTCAAGTGCTGACTGTACGCGCCACTGTTCTGTAGCTGCGGTCGTTATCACGATTACGCCTCCTGTCTATGTTTCAGTTTCGTTGCGTCGGAGGCATTTAAAATATAAAAAAAACAACAAATAAACAAATTTTAGCTATACAAAACAACGATAAATTAATACATTGAAGTTACGTACAATTATGCTACACAATCCGTCATAGCGACACAAAACAACGATAAATACACAAATTTAAGATACAACCATACTAACACGATCCGTCTTGGGGGTTATGTTTACACAAACTCAAATAGTAAATAAATGTACTCAATGCATTTAATTGAATTGCAAAATAAATAACAGCAATCAAATTACACAGCTGATCAAAATGTAAACAATTATGTTATCCATAAGGATAACATGGGAACTTTTAAAGCCACTGGGGCAGAGCCCAAGGGACTTTAAAAAAAAGGAAGATCAGTTTGCAAATCTGCGCGACACGCTCTTTCCAATGAGACGTCAATGGATAAAATCGGTTAAGAAATGGCGGAGGAGTTCAACCGACAAAGTTTCATGTAGCGTATTAATTATATAGATAGCTAATTTGAACTAAGCAGCAACAAAAAACTGTGATACGCAATGAGAACTGTCAAAATAGGATTGTTAACAGTTTTTTATAGTTTTTTTTTTTTTTATTTCATGAATAATTTGTAATATTTTGCGAATTTTTAATAATCTATCTTTCTCTATTGTGTAGGTGAAGTGGTAGAACATAATGGCTATGGAAGATGTGTAATACTTTTGTAATTCTATAGCATACCGTAAATTTTAGGAAGCTAATTTTTTCAAACCGTGTCTCACATTGCAAACGCAAAGATCGAGTATAACTGCAATAAGCATTTTATACTTATATGCCAACCCCGTACGAAGGACGGGTACTCTGCTAGTAATGAAATAAATTAACCTGGATATCTGATGGTTTGCAGAATACGACGACCTCATGTTTGCCAGGCAGGTACTTGTCTAGTATTGCATGTGTGCGACGCAGTATGAACCCAGCCGTACGATTGGCGAGCTGCTCAGCACGACTTTCCCCCTCCTTCCACATTTGCTGCGACACTTTGAGGTTTCTAGACGCAACAATACTCTCTTCATAGGTCTTGCGGAACTCTGTGAAAAGAGGCAAAGGTCAAAAGGTGCCGTTTGTTTGGAACCAACTTAATAGTGTGTTACATGTCAAGGCCGGGAAATAGGTGCTCATGATATGAGAAGGAAAGTTACCCTATTATCTTATTAACTTTTTTCCATTTCTGTCAGAGAAGTATATTACATTACTGCATTGTTCTGAACGACAAGTAACAGATGATGTATCTTCCTTTTTTTCTTAAGACTAAAACCAACCATTTTATCCCTATATGTCAATAGCAAACTTATATATAAGTACCAAAAATATATATATAAAATAAAAATATATATATATAATATAATAAAATATATATATATAATATATATAGTAGACCAAAAACAAAACTCTAGCACTCATTAAAATAAGTGTCGCGTCGATAAGGATTGTTTGATGACATTCTTCATCAAACAAAAATCTTCATATGTGCGTAAACCTCAGAAAAATTATCAAAAACAATTTACAAACCTAAAAATGTTACTAATAACTACAATCAATTACTGTACCAAGACAGAAGAAGACCAATAAAAGTTACCTGCGTATGACCCTAGAATGTCAGGATTAACGAGGCTGATCAGAGCGTAAAACTCCTGTAAGTCATTTTGGATGGGTGTTCCTGTGAGTAGAATCCTCCGCTTGCAAGGCAGCTGGCTCAGTAACTGTATAGCACACAAAGACGGTTATATTTTTATAATATAGGATTGTTAATTTAATTTACAATATTGTTTTAAACCATACAGTTGTTTCTTGACAATCTGCTACTTTGTTATCCGACGTACTTAATAGTTCTACAAGCCAGCAGCATACTTTGGCCTAACAGAGGAAAAAAACCTGCAGCAACATAAATCCCCCTTTTTCACACTATACACTCATTGTCATTGGATAGCCTATTACTGTATTGGCATTTTTGTTGGATTCATTTGAAACTTAGACCAATTCGTATATACCAAGGCAAAAAAGTGGTTCGGATTCCACAATAAACTGTAGGTCCCTTAGTTGCTATTAGCTGTATGGGCCATTAATTAACAGCTGTGTCTAAGGAACATGCCAGTCACTAACAATACTACAAGATCGTGCCACTCATCCTACACTCATCTCCATTCATACTTGGCTTAAAAGACTTACTTTGTATGGTTGGCATTTCATTGTAAAGTATTGTGTTTTTATAGTTTTATTATTTATGTTATATTTTATCTTGTTCAAGTACATTAAGAAAAGAAAACTAATCTTAATAATCCCGCTTGCATATTGCTCTGCTACCCTTCACACCTTGAGTTAAGTTAAGCTAGTTATTGTATAAATAAACTGATAAACAAGCAAATTTACTTTCCAAACAATATGTAAGGTGTGCATCTTATGTATGTTACATATACAAGTTAGACATAACACCCTAGCTACCCTTCACCCATCGGATTGTCGAGAGACAATTACTGTAATTTAATAAATAAGTGACAAACAGATTAATTATAAATTATTATCAATTATCAATAATTAAGATGGGAACGCCCCCTAGGTGCGTATTTTAACCCAAATATGAGTAAAGGATGAGTGTAGAATGGTGTGTGATCACCAACACTCAGCAGATTTTTTTTGCAAAAGCGTAAAAAATATTAGTTTAAGTAAGCATTTTTTAGAACCAAATTTTTTTAGAAACCGAGGAAAACAAAGGTGCCCACAAGGAACTTCATCAAGGGGCAAAAGCAATTGAACTACCTCTTTCTTTGATTGTCAATGTACTATGTTAGGTTAAATACCTTATTTATGATTATATATATAAACAACAGAGATTTATTTTTGACAAACTAAACTATTTAAAACAGCAAAAGGATTTTTAAATTTTTTAATTTAATACCATCCATGCGTGCACCCATGACTGAAACAAAAAAGTTTGTCTTACTTTGACTCACCGTGTAAGCTTTCACTGAGTTGTTTTTGAGCCGATGACCCTCATCGCAGACCACAAGGTCGAATAACACTTGGGTAATGTCATCGAAATAGCGGACAAACATCTCATATGAAATGATCATCACAGGAACGTTAGGCACATGCACAAAGTCTTTTGGCTTGTTCTTCTAAACAGACAGAAACCAAAAAGTAAGGTTATTGGTAACACTAAGGGTTCTAACGTCTAAGTATTATTTATTTATTTAGTTGGGCCTATTTTAATCATTTTCCCCTCATATTTTGAATTAAAAAATGTGAATACTTATAAAACAAGCGTTGCTTGTGGATACACAGAGTAAGGATTAAGAGTTGCACAATGCCTCAATTGAGGTGTTACTCACTAAGGATTCAACATCTCGTCCACTTACACCCAAGCCTTGCCATGCCGTACATGGTTTGTTCTTGTTGTAGGTTGGCTTCTTCCACAGGCAAGGGAACTCAGTAGTTGCCCACAAGACCTTACAATGACGGTATTCAAACCCTCTGATTTACTGTGCTATCTTCTGGCCGTATAGACTATGCCTTGATAGACCCACCATTCTACCACGCTAACGACACTGGTAAACCCAAAGCTTAAGCGTAGCAGTTCTTAGCTTGACTCTCAGGGCACATTTAGTACAGCTCCCGGTCTTTAGACATGCTTGCTTGCATAAATAATGGTGATTCAAGGATTGCTCATGTTGCTCTTGATGGTCAATACATATCTTGGAGCGCTAAAAGTTAAGGATTTATTGGCATAGCAGCCTTTGGAAGGAGTTAAGGTCCATCGTGACTCTAGGAAAAGTAAAACAGTTTAGATCTGCACTGCAATTCTTTGAACCTACCCTTTTTGACAATGAGTGATGATAAGGTAATTATTGTGTAAACCTAAGCATTTGAATTTTTTTCTTTCAGGTAAGTCTTTCATCCCAATCAACCTCCTTAACAAAAACAATAATCTATATCTATCTATATCTATATCTATATCTATATCTATACTTCTATACTTCTATATCTATCTATATCTATATCTATATCTATACTTCTATACTATATACTATATACTATACTTACTATACTATTATATAAAAATCTTGTGGTGTCTGTATGTGTATTACTAATAGGCGCATAAACTACTGAACTGACTGGGCTTAAATTTTACAGAAATATAGCTACCATACCAAGGACCATAATAGGACTATTCACACTTCGATACTGACCGTGGGCTTTGCCCCTTTGGCTTTAAAAGTTCTGAGTTGAGGATTTTAAAAGTAAATATTGATTGGTCTCCATGGCTGCCATGAGAACAAACACAATGTTTACAATTTGCTATGCCACCCAAATGTAAACAAGCTGAACTGTCAAACCACATTAATTCACAATGCCACAGCTGGTTTATAAATAGGAGGCATATAATATTCTCTACAATCATGTTTATTTATTCTTATATTTGATGGTTCATTGATTATTTATTTTATGAAATTAGTGAGATTGTATATCTGATGCTGTATCTAACCCTAATTAATTATTTAAAATTTTGCTAATGTGAATAATTGTATTGAAAGAGTTTGGTGTAAAAATAGTGAAATTATAAAGTTCACATTTACTTGAATCATTTTAACATTTTTGAACAATTAACATGTGTTTAGAGTAGGGCACACACCTTAAAAATTGAAACATTTTTCTCAAGGAGATAATTAATTGTATATTTTTGCCATTTTGAGAGAAATATTTTTCACACCATTAGCCTTTTCCCAAATTTTTAAATCATATTTTCATATTACTACCCATAGAGTTATGATGTTTTCTAATCCAGAGGTAGCTACTACTCTATATTATAACTTTTTACACTTCCTGTAGATTTTACATTCTATTCTAATAATGAATATCTTTTTACGAGCGTTTCAAGGTCATTACATGTATAATTTCAACCAAGTTCCTCTTAACTTAACCTACCCTTGCAATAACATTGTTTGAATGACATTAAATTTACTAATTCTAAGCTGATATACAAATATTTCAAATTAAAAACAACAATAAAAAAGTTGTATATATGCCTTTGCCTTTGGTGCATAAATATTAGGAGCTATAAATAGTAGGACTAAATACTAAATAGTCCTATTATTTAATAGCTAAATAGTATGTTTCTGTTTGTTTTGTTTTAGTAGTAAGAGTATTAATGTTTTTGTTTGTTCACATAGTATATAATAAGTTTTTTTTTATATTCAATGCTGAGTGAGCAATGCTTTTTAGAAGCAAGATCACCTGTTTCATTTCATTCAAATTAAATGCTATACCATAATATTAACCAGATGTTGTAAATTATTGTTTGTCTATGTTTTATTTTATAATTTAAAAGTAAGTAAAGGATTTGAGATTTTTATTTGTTTATTTTTTGAAAATGTTTTTTAAATGTAATTAAAAAGTTAAAAGTTTTTGATATATTAAGTTTTATATAAAGTTTTTTTTAATTTATTGGAATTTAATCTTTTTTAACATACATGTGGGACTTTCGGATATTAAAATGCCTAAAAGAAAAAAGAGCAACCTCTCCAGTCGTCCTGCTAAGGCAAGGGCAATGGCATCTTTGCGAGAAAGGGAGTCCTTTCAAGAGAGACAAGTCCGTCTGCAAAAAAACGCAGAAACTACAGCACTACAACGATTTTCTGAAACTTCAGAACGTCGTCAGGCTCGATTACAAACCAATGCTAACAGGATTGCTTACCTACGGTCCTAAGAAACTCCTCAACAGCGTCTGCTACGTAGAGAAGAGGATTCAGTAAGACACGCTGCACAGCGTTTAACTCAAACTAATGAACAGCATGAAGCCAACCTACTCGCTCGAAGAAATGACAGGCAACAATTTATGACAAGAAAGTGGGATTCATTTAAACACATAGCATTTAATTATGACCCAACAATTGATTACAAAAACCACAATCTTCTTTCAATTGGACATATTAATAGTATATGTAGGCATTGCAGAGCAGCCAAGTGGCCAGGAGAATCTGTTGGAATGTGTTGCTCAAGTGGCAAAGTCAAAGTTACTCATTTGGAAGAGCCACCTGAACCCCTTCTCACTTTGCTCAAGGGAGAAACAAGGGAATCAAAAGATTTCTTACAAAATATTAGAAAATATAATATGTGTTTCCAAATGACATCTTTTGGAGCATCTGTTCAGACTATTGTTCCTCATTTTCATACTACTTTTACTGTTCAGGGACAAGTTTATCACCGCATTGGTAGCCTTCTTCCTCCTTCAGGAAAGCCCCATAGCTTTCTACAAATATATTTTATTGGGGATCAGGACATTGAAACAGACACACGTTGCAACAACATACCTGGTGTTTGTCGTACAACGGTCGAAGATATACAGCAAATGTTTCATGAAGAAAATCAATTAGTACGTTCTTTTAAAACTGCTATGGAACTTCTTCCAACAGATAACTACAAAGTTGTAATTCGTGCTGACCGCCGTCCACCTGGTGAACATGAACGCCGGTACAATGCTCCTACTGCAGATGAAGTGGCGATTGTCATTGCTGGAAATGAGTTTGAGAGCCGAGACATTGTATTAAGGAAACGTGATGGCAATCTTCTCCGAGTGTCTGAAACTCACCGCTTCTACGATGCACTACAATACCCACTAATTTTCTCAAAAGGACAAGAGGGGTATCATTTTGGTATCCCCATGATGGATCCAAATACTAATCTCCCTACAAACAAGAAGGTTTCGTCAATGGATTTCTATGCGTACATGTTAATGGTACGCGAAGACGATTTTAATACTATCTTGAGGTATAGACAGCTCCTAAACCAGTTCATAGTTGACATGTACGCCAAAATAGAAACTGAACGCCTACTGTACATTAAGCTCAATCAAAAAAAACTTAGGGCTGAGAGCTACGTGCATTTGAGAGATGCTTTGAACAATGATGCGACACTGAGTGCTAATGATATTGGCCAATCTGTTATCCTTCCTTCAAGTTTTGTAGGATCTCCGAGGTATTTAAGTGAAAGGGCACAAGACGCTTTGACCTATGTTAAAAACTACGGTCGCCCGGACTTATTTATAACTTTAACATGCAATCCAAAATGGCCCGAAATATTGGAATCCTTGCTTCCAGGGCAGAAAGCAACAGACAGACATGACATTGTTTCACGTGTGTTTCATCAAAAAATAAAGATTTTTGTCGCAGTGATCAACAAAGGGGAAGTTTTTGGCTCTGTCAGATGCTTTATCTACACTGTAGAGTGGCAGAAACGTGGATTACCTCACATCCATTACTGACTGCATTCTTTGATCTATGCCAAAATGATGATTTTGCAAAAACACTTTTGTATCATGAAGTTCCACACTATTTCACTTTCAACGCAACCGAGAAAGTATTCAGGCGCCGAATTCAAGGAACACCTGTCCATGGTTATGCAGATGTTAAATACTCAGATGCATTAGGTCGTGTATATGTTACACTCAATCTCCGAATTCGGACAATGTCCGAAATTTCTACCCACTCCGCGATGTGGATAGTGTGAAATACCCACGTCGCGGAGTGAACATTTTATTTCGGACATTGGCCGAAACGAAATGCCCAGACCGCGTTGTGGGTAAACTGATTTACACAAACGCCGAAGTCAAAACCTTCTTCGGCGATTGAGCAAATTCAAAATACCCACAACGCGATGTGAGCAAGAGGGATTGCCCACGTCGGGTTGTGGGTATTTCTAGTTTGCGCAAACACCGACTGGTAGTTTATAAACTACCGTATACCCATAAATCTACATAAAATCCACAATCACTAGGTAAAATAAATAAAATTTATGTTTGTGATTATAATTATGTATAAATAGCATTTTAGAAAATACAAGAAAACAGCAAATTACCGAATGGGAACAAATACAAAAAGGTCCATTACACATACATTGAAATTATGTTTTTCCGTTTTACAAAAATAGGAGTAGCCCTCAAACGCCGATTATCACACAGTTCTTGTTACATCTTTCTTTTACTTATTGGCACAAGAGGTGCTGCCATGACATTTAGAATTGCATTTTACGTTTGACTTAATACATTTAAATGATTAACTCAAACAGTTCTTCTTGCAACCACATCTTATAAAACCTTGTTTTTTTTTTTAAGAGGTGGTCGCCAATCTTTTAACCTCTGATTTGCCCGTCCACATTGGCCTCTGACGTCTTGATTGGCTCGTTCGACAGACCAAAACAATATCTCACAAGAGGTAATCACTGAACATATATTAACTTGATCACGTGCGTATCACTACAGGACAGCGACAGTAAAGAAAACACAATGCAGGTGCAGGTCTGTCCATCCTAATCGTAGATAGTGCAAATGGTGGGGATGACATGCCTAAACGTAAATTCGGCGTTTGCACAAACTATAAATACCCACAACCCGACGTGGGCAATCCCTCTTGCTCACATCGCGTTGTGGGTATTTTATATTTGCTCAATCGCCGAAGAACGTTATGACTTCGGCATTTGAGTAAATCAATTTACCCACAACGCGGTCTGGGCATTTCACTTTGGCCAATGTCCGAATAAAATGCTCACTCCGCGACGTGGGTATTCCACACTATCCACATCGCGGAGTGGGTAGAAATTTCGGACATTGTCCGAATTCGGAGATTGAGTGTAACATATATACTGTTCATCCGGCAAACTTTGAGTGCTATTGTCTTCGTTTGCTTCTTCATAAAATAAGAGGCCCTACATCTTTTCAGCAACTAAGGACAGTAAATAACCAAATTTGTGGCACATACAGAGAAGCCTGTCAGGCCCTTGGTCTGCTTGAGAATGACAACCATTGGGAGTCAACGATGGAAGAAGCTGTTCTGACTCGCTCAGCTTCTCGTGTACGCCATCTATTTGCAATATTGATAAGTACGTGTGAGTTGTCAAGCCCTATAACTTTGTGGGAATCATTCAGAAATGATTTGTCTGATGATATCTTACATCGACACAGGGAAGTCGTCCCTGACCTTCAGTACAATGACATAGTTTACAATGAGGCCCTAACGAATATCCAAGAACTGGTGAAGTCTATGAGTGGGAAAGATTTAAGTTCGTTTGGCTTACCCGCTCCAAACTTATTGAATGGAATCAACCCTGAACTTCTAAAAGAAATGGCATATAACATCGACGATATGCAGCTCCAAGTACAAGAGATGTTACCAAAACTTCTACCCGAGCAACAAGTGGTTTATGATACAATTTTAGAGAGGACTAGCTGACCCGGCGAACTTCGTATCGCCTAAGTTATAGGTTTCCCCTAAGACAGACCGATGGAAAGAAAGTACCGTTACGTTCAATTTTCAAGATGATCTCGTTCGCATCGCTCAATCACGTCCTGGTTGAAGTTCGTTCGCTACGCTCACTCACCTTTGGGTTGGAGCTCGTTCGCTGCGCTCACTTGCCTTTAGGTTGGAGCTCGTTCGCTACGCTAACTCGCCTCCAGGTTAGCTCGTTCGCTACGCTCACTCGCCTCCAGGTTGAAGTTCGTTCGCTACGCTCACTCACCTTTTGGTTGCAAATTAGCTGTTGTCATAAATGTAAAAGAAATAATAGTGCTGCACCCTGTTGGTAATCCTTGTAACTTTAATGCTATTGAACATCATAGAACAGAACCAACTTGTTTAATTGAAGCAGCTGTTAAGATTCATTAATTCCATTTCTCATAAGGTTAACATGGGAAACTCCAGAGCCACTGGGGCGGAGGCCTTTTAAGAATTTCGAAACGGGAAATAGTTTACGTCCGATTCGCATACCTACAGAATTTACACACCAAATTTCATTACGATCGGTGAAGTCGTTCCGGAGGAGTTTGCAGACAAACACTGTGACACGAGAATTTTATATATTAGATTGAGAGTAGAAAAGGAGGAATTATCTTCCTGGACGCTCCAGGTGGAACAGGTAAAACTTTTCTTATAACTGTCATATTGGCTAAGCTGAGAAAAGAAAATCACATTGCTCTTGCGATTGCATCCTCTGGCATTGCTTCAACACTTCTACCTGGTGGAAGAACTGCACATTCTGCATTGAAACTACCACTTAACCTAGCAACTGCTGAAACCACACAATGCAATATCAGCAAAACCTCTGATCGAGCTGAAGTCCTCCGACGTTGTACATTACTGGTGTGGGATGAATGTACAATGTCTCACAAACGAGCATTTGAAGCATTGAATTCAACACTTCAAGACATCAGAAATAGTCAAGATTTAATGGGGGGCTTAGTTGTTTTGTTGTCAGGGGACTTCAGACAAACCCTACCAGTTATCCAACGTGGAACTCCAGCAGATGAAATCAATTCCTGTTTGAAAAAGTCTGTCCTATGGAGTCATATTGAGCAGTATCACTTGGTTCAAAATATGAGGGTAAGTCTCCATAACGACTGTGATGCCAGACAATTTTCAGGTGATTTGCTCAAGATTGGTGAAGGTAGAATGAAAACTGACCAACATAAGATGATTTCCTTCCCAGAAAACTTTGGTCACATGGTTGCTTCTGCGGAAGAGCTTATAGCAAGTGTGTTTCCTGACTTACAAAACAACCACTATGATCCTGAATGGTTATCCTGCAGAGCAATTTTAGCCCCCAAAAATGACGATGTGAACAAAATAAACAGCAAAATTATGAACATTATTCATGGTGAAGTTAAATCTTATTTGTCCATTGATTCAATTACAGAAGAGGAGCAAGCACTACACTACCCTGTTGAGTTTCTTAACACCTTGGAACTGCCTGGTATTCCCCCGCACAAGCTTGAATTGCAATTAGGAATCCCAGTAATACTACTTAGGAACTTAGAGCCACCTAGGTTGTGTAACGGTACTAGGCTTTTAATTACATCATTAAAAGAAAATGTCATAGAAGCTAAGATTTTAACTGGTTCTGCAAAGGGGGAAAAAGTACTCATTCCCAGGATTCCCATTACAACAGCAAACCTACCCTTCAATTTTAAGCGCCTTCAGTTCCCCTTAAAGGTTGCTTTTTCAATGACGATAAATAAAGCACAAGGACAGACTCTACAGGTTGCAGGCCTCTATTTGGAAACACAATGTTTCTCCCATGGGCAATTATACGTTGCTTGCTCACGTGTTTCTAGTGGAAAAAACCTGTATATTTTCACAAAAGATAGGAAAGCTGTAAACATTGTTTATAAGTCTGTATTGTAAATATATATTTTACTAGCAGAGTACCCGTCCTTCGTACGGGGTTGGCATATAAGTATCAAATGCTTATAGCAGTTATGAGTGAGGACATGGTTTAAGAAATTTCGGTTCTTTTTGAAGTTCGTTCGCTACGCTCACTCACCTTTAGGTTGGAGCTCGTTCGCTGCGCTCACTTTCCTTCAGGTTAGCTCGTTCGCTACGCTCACTTGCCTTCAGGTTAGCTCGTTCGCTACGCTCACTCGCCTCCAGGTTGAAGTTCGTTCGCTACGCTCACTCACCTTTTGGTTGCAAATTAGCTGTTGTCATAAATGTAAAAGAAATAATAGTGCTGCACCCTGTTGGTAATCCTTGTAACTTTTAATGCTATTGAACATCATAGAACATAACCAACTTGTTTAATTGAAACAGCTGTTAAGATTCATTAATTCCATTTCTCATAAGGTTAACATGGGAAACTCCAGAGCCACTGGGGCGGAGCCCCGAAGGATTTTTTGGGATAAAAATATGCCTATATGTTAATCGGGAATGTGAGCTATCATCATGCCAAATTTCAGCCCGATCCGACCAGTAGTTTTTGAGATTAGCTCATACAAACACACACACAGACACCACCTCTTCTTTATAATAGTATAAGATAAGATTTTAACATGTTCATATTAAAACTTTTTCACCTCCCTTGAGTTTACTTATTTTACAATGTTTTTAATTTCAGATTTCAAAAAGCACCATTTAAACATACATCTACTCCGGACGAAGGACGGGTACTCAGCTAGTATAGGTATAAAAACCAAATACAATTTTACAGTTATGATTGATGAAATAATTACTTACTTCATTAAGCTTGATAAAAAAAACAAATTTTTGGTTAATGATTTATTGAAATGACTTTGATTACCAAAATTGACGAAAAAACACTACAAATAAAAAAGGAATCCTTTCAATAAACTGTAATTTTTACTCTCGACCCTACAAAACTCATAAACTTAAAAATTAATACATAAATGGATGGAATTTAAAAATATTTTACCTGATCAACAGTGAATACATGAATGCGGTAATGTCCAAGCCATCGATGAAACTCTTGATTCCAATTACGAGCGAGACTGGACGGAGTAACAATCAATACTTTCTTGAGCAATGGCTCTCGGCCGTACAGTGGTTGGCGAAGTAGCGTCCTGTTTAACACAACTGATTTAAATTCCAACACTTCAATATCAAACAATCTTCATTGATTGAAGGGCTTGCAATTTTTGACATTTCTGAAATTTTTTGACATTTCAGACATTTTGTACAAGGAATAGCCATGTTAGGACAACACTCATGTTATATAATATCATCATTTATTAATAGCTTGATGACAAATCGCATCTGGATCCAGAATGGTGGTGTCATATCTACGATCAATACTTTGAGACAGATGTACACTTTGGTGTGCATTTTAAGCTAAATATGAATACACGGTGAGTGTAAAATGGATTGAGTGAGAAGATTTGTTCAGCCTTGTTACTGACTGCAACTGTTTTATAAGTAAGGATCATTCATTAAAAGCCCATTGATCAAGGTTATTTGGGCCCAGTTTTGAACCATCAAAAAGCTAATGACTTTTCTCAGGACCGAACCGGCAACCGTCTGATAACTAGGCAAGCTCCATAACCACTCAGCTACCCAGCTTTTAGTTTTTAGCACAAGCACACAGATTCAAAATAGGAAAGTAATACTAACCAGATGAGTGTGATGGTCTGCAATGTCTTCCCTAGTCCCATCTCGTCAGCCAGGATGGCTCCCTGATGGCTAGGGTCGCGGAGGCCAGTGATGCAACGGTACAGAAACGTTACCCCTTCCCTCTGGTGAGGCCGCAACACCCGCGCCAGACTAGGGTCTACTGACACTACATTCACTGGCGCACCATTCTTGTTGAACTGCCACTACCACACAACAGTGACAAACTTATTCACAAAAATAGGTCTGAAATTCCACTTTTTCTGTCTGCCCTTATGCAATTTTTACAAATTTAACCATAATTTTTGAGCCCTTAAAGGATTCTTATTCTTCTTGCGCCGACATACCAGATCCGGGACATGCACGGTCTCACAACATTCACCCATCGGCAGTCCCATCAACTTGTACCAGAGCCATTTGCCGTTTATTTTTGGAGGGCCTTTCCCACCAAACCCTGCCATAATTGTTAGGCAAACTCCTCAGTTCAGAATTCAACCCCAGACCTAACCAAGATGCAATCCAAGCCCTCAAACTTTCGAGTTCTCTACTGGCTGGGTAGATAATTCCTTAGTTAACGCGTTAAAATCTTTATCATTTCCCGTGACAACAGAGACACTTTGATTGTCTCCGCAGAGGCAGAAATATCCGTGACTATTATACCACTATCGTGGGAACTGAGAACACCCAAGATCATCTCCTACAATCGTGTTTTTCTAACTACAAAACAAATTTAAATGAGAACCAACAGAACACCAACAATGAATGGACACATGGTCATAGGCTATTAGCAATTGGCACAAAATTCCCCTTGTATACAAATTGACGTACAATCCCAGGTAACTCCTTGTTCAGCTGGAAACCCAGATAAATATTTCAGAGCTTTGATTTTAATTTCAATACAGTGATCTTTTTCCTCAACAGGTAGTTTGGGTTGGCCAAACATTCCTATTAGCATTGTTTGCATTAACAACTTGTGTACACGAGTAGCCTAATATTAAAGAACCCAGAAACTCTCCAGAGCTTCTCTAGAGAAACTCATTTAATATTTTAAGTTTAAAACAATAATTAAGCCATTTACATATATTTATTCAAGGAATGTATTAATCGAAATGTAAAATTGTTCAAAATGCTACTCAACTAACCACAAATTATAGCTTCCTTGTTTGTAATAGAGAAATGGAACAATAATTCAAAGTGAGCTTTCAAAATTTTATATTTTAACATCATAATAAGTTATTGGTAAATTAAGGCTACAAAATAGGAAATTGTTATTGAAGAACCTGATGGTCCAGATCCGGCTGTGGCATGGTCAACGGTTGGTAGTCCTGCAGGTGGTGAGGGGCGGGGGCAGACCGTGTGGTGAACGTCAATGCGGGGTGTGATGGGGCTTTCTTGGCCTTTTTTCGCACAGGATTTGGTGGGGAACTGGACGGACGTTTTGTAGGTAACTCACCTGGCGATGAAACCGCATCTATTATCTGAAGGGGACAAATTGTAATTATTATAAAAATGATAACTGTGTTTAATTTAAGTTGCAACAAAAAAAGACCAAAATTAAAATGTCAATTATGTCAATCCTACTGATCCTATTGTAGACATTTGATCTGATTAGGTAATTTCCAACCATTGTACTATTGTTTTACCCTGAATATTCTTTCTTAATCTGACCAGACGTATCTAACAAAATTAGCGGAATGGATTTAAGATCATTGATAAGTACTTAAAAGACCGTTCTAGAGGTACACTAGCTTAATTATTTGAATCTATCAACTTTCACCAATAGTGACTGATATAATTAAACAAAACAAAAATATACGGTAAATATTCTTTTACATCTGAAAATCTTTATTGAAAAGTCTAACAAATTTAATAATTTGATTTTTCTTAGCAATATTTTAAATTAACGTTTACAAACTACACAATAGAAAATCTTACTTCAATCTCTTTATTTCCAACAAAAAGGCGAGATCCTTCTTCTAATTCAGAGTTTTTCTTTCCACTTCCCCTGCCAATAATGTTTCCTTCACAATCCTAAAACAAATACAATAAGGTATTTATATAACGGTGTGGGGATATTAAAAGTTTGTATTTATATAGAACTAATTAGTAGGTAAAGCATATAATTTGTGTAGGTAGGCTATTAACAATTTTATGATTAAAGTTGGTTTACCTTAAGAGTTAAGGATTTTTCCCCGACTTCCAGTACTCCATCTCCTTCCCACGTTTTGTGTTTCTTTTTAGACGGTTTTCCATAAACAACATTGAATATCCTAAACAGAAAAGTCATAACATTATTAAAATCTAAAGTTGTAATTTCAAAACTGTTAATTCCGTGTTATGGTTATATAGAACAAGAAATATTATTTATGTAACCATTATTCAAGTTTCATAAGCGAAGAGATAAGTTAGTGATATTTTAAACAAATAAGCCTTATTCATAGACAGAGTATTTTATATGAATTGTCCCCTAGTGGAACCAACATGGGGCCTGACGTTTTAGCCATTGTTGAGTTGGTCTACTATTTGCAATGTGGGTCCACTCCAGCACACTGTGTTAGTCATATACTTTGTATGACACCCTGAAGACTTGGTGTTATGATGTGCAATGAGGAAGCTTGACTTCTAGTATATAGGCTACTTTTCTACTAACAGTAGAACCCGCTAGTCCGACTCGTTTAATCTGACTGTGCCATCGCTTATCGGAGACAATTTTATCCCAGTAATAACATGACTATCTGCTAGAGTTGTGAGTTGAGATCATCACCGTCTTCCGCAATCAAGGGAAAAACCTTGTTCATCCCCTGCGATCATAGAAACATCGTCACTGTTTTCCACAATCACAAAAACATTTATTGTAGACATCCGCAATTGTGGTAAAATATTGAACGTCTCCAACTGTCACAGGAAGATTACGACCATCTTCCAAATAGCATATCTCCCAAACACATCATTGTCTCTAGCAACTATGGAAACTTTAATGCTATCAGGGACTTATCTGTGATTGTGATAAATTCCTGAATATTTCCTGTGGTAAATGAAACATCTCCTTCGTCTCCCGCAAAATGTGGCAAAATATTGAACGTTTCCTACAATTATGAAAGTAATTAATTTAGGCATTTAATATACTCTCCTCGTCCAACTTATCCCGACCTTTACACTGTTCCGACCCCGACCATGGTCCCGGTTCCGTAGGTGAGATTAGCAGGATTTTATTATATTTGTTGCTTTTCTATACCTATGTAAGAAGTTCATTGAAAAACGATTTTTATCAAATAAATTATAGAAAAGGCTTTAAATAATTGAAAAATATTTCACCTCTTGTCAATTGTAGCCTTTGGTTTCTCTATGTTTGTGACTTGTTCGTGGAGAACTGGTGATGATTCTTCAAGATGGCTATGTAGCTCTGGAGACTCTTCCTTTAAGGGTTGGCCTAAATCTCCAGTTTGTTTAATTTTAGCAATGAGGCCCAAAATGCTATCAGTTGTCCTTGCCGCATTTTCTACTGGTGCTGTAACTAAAATAAAATTATAAAGAATATGCCTAAAATATCTTTTCTTAGTCATAGTCACAAATCTTTACTCATAAGTATAGCTTAGGCACAGTTGAACATGAACAGTGTCAAAAGAAAAGAGGTGTAGGGCCTAATGTTAATGATTTAATACTTTTATACTTTTCAATGAAATGGCGACCATACAAAGTAGGCCTAGGTACTTTAAGCCAAGTATGAATGGAGATGAGGGTATTATGAGTGTGATCTTATAGTCTTGTTAGTGACTAAGGCCGACATATTCCTTAGACATAGCTGTTAATTAATAGCCCATAGGCCTACAGCCAATGGCAACCAAGGGACCTACAGTTTATAGTGGAACCGAACCACATTTTTGCCTTGTAATTAACAAATTGATCTAATTATCAGGATAGTACTGTGGATAGTCTTAGTCTTAGTCACATAAAAAAACACACACATAAAAAACATATTAAATATATATATATATATATATATTTACAGACTTTGACTACCGTATAAGTAAATTGCTTATAAATTTATCTTTTCTTACCTTGCTTTGATCCATGGGGAGCAGTTGGAGGGTAAAACTTTTCACCTAGTTTGGAGGGAGCACTAGATCGCCTCATTTTCCTTCAGACTGAAAACAACAACTAACTTAACTTAAATAAATTAAATAAATTTGCAAAAAAATCAGGCTTTATGATCTACTTAATGGCTGCACTTTACTTTAGGTCCTACACTCATTCAAATGAAAATATTGATCGATATATTGATTAATCGATTGTTTTATTCGATATATCGTTTGGTTAGTTAGGTAAGGTTAGCCTAGTGAGTGTAGGAACTAAAGTAAAGTGCAGCCTACTTAATAAAATCACTAAGACCATATAGATAAAACACACTCCCTTGTCTATGCTGACCAATGAAACTTGCAACTGACACCTCTTAGGCTAAGCCTATACTGTAACAAAGGTAGACCTTTAACCATAGGTGACATGGTAGGGCCTACTCTGTTCAATATAAAAATTAAGATGAAACAAAATAAATTAGGAATTGGAAATTTGAAATCTCTGTTGTAAACCATAGTTGATTCTTCCATTTGACATGTTGTCTAGAGGTAAGTTACTAAGTTTACTTAACTTTAACTTACTATTATGCCTCCTGTCTGAAAATGAGCTTCTAACTGATCTTTGATAAGCTTTACGTTTAGGTACCTAATCCATAGCATATTCTTCCACGATTGGCCTATGGCAGAAAATCTCAGTTAAGTATAATAGATGAACTTAATCTATGGTTAAGACTGGCTTCACTTGTGAATAACTTAATAATAGAGTGTTTTTAAGTTACTTACTTTCAGAAATTAGGCTATTCAAACAACAACTAACAACTTAAGTAACAACACAACAACACGAAAACATCCAGCCTGCAGCAGACCGCAGACCACCAAATTCAGGATCTTTGTTGTAAAACCGTCTGCTATAAATTTGCCGCCATTACGTTGAGCGTGTTAGACACAGACTTAACTAGAATCCACTTAGAATGTAGTTTAGCCAATGGTTAAATAGAGTTTTTATTACAGTTATTATGATTATATAATTTGTCATTATTTTAATTTTATATGCATTCAAAATGCTATGTTTTGCTGATTTTGTATCTGCATACTTACAGCTGGTCTGAGCCTCCAGGGATGTTGGATGTTACTTACTGTGCTATCGTCAACCTGGAGAAAACCCCAACCTTTACAGTCATATTAACAAGGTGAGGTATATTACATTAATTTATTTAATACCATGCCTTCATTTTTACAATTGTTCACTGGATAAACTGTGTCAGATTTGAAAATAAAAACTTTCTACCATTAGCTTCTCAACAACCTTTATCATGGGTAAGCGGTGGAAGTAACTCTGGTATTTTTTATGAAAAATTACAAAAACTTTTGTTGAACCGTAATTTTAAAACAATCACGGAAGTTTACACGATTCAGAATTATGATGAAGAACCATACTAATTTTAATCAAACCAGATTTTTTAATAAGATTTTTCATCATGTATTTTATGGTGTTTTAATGCGAAAATAAAGTAACAATACCTTTTAAACACTTTACTTTTTACATTTTTTACAAAAATGGGAGTTATACCATTCTGTTAAGAATTTAAAGGGCTATATCATACTACATTTTAATCAAATCGTTCGGGTTATTTTTGAGATTTTTTCCTGGAACGAAAGGTTGTTCCCAGAAACCCCACAAAATTTCGCGATTTCAAGACACGGTAACTTTTTCACTGCGATCATGGAAGACATTGGTGATGATTCCATGAATGTAGAAGATATGCATGATTCAAATAACGTCCACTCTATATCACCAACGATCGCAGGAGGGGACATTCCAGCGGTACGGTATCGCGGCAGAAATTCATGATTTTACCACGACATCAGAAGACGTTCATGATTCCTCCTCTGTGACCACAGGAGACATGCAGAATTTGCCCACTATTACTTACGGGACTAAGCAACTTGAACTTATTCAAGCATTCAAGCAACCGCCCTGAAGTAGTAGACTTGAGGAGTGAGGAGAGCGAGGGTTGAGAAGTTGCCGCTGAAATCGCATGTTGGCAGTGCAGCCCCCACACACATATTTCTAACTACCGATGTTAGTTCTCATATATGACACCCACAACCACGGAAATTTTAACCATTCATCGCGATCGCAGGAGACGATCACAATATCACCGAGACCGCAAAGCAAAATGACTACAATATTTCGTAGCAACCACGGGAAATGAACTCCCGTGAAAATGTGGGAAATGCTTTGGGTTAATGAATTCGCTTTGACCGCAGGACATTTTTCCGATTCCATCGTTACCGTGGGAGACGATCAAGTAACATATTTGAAATCCATTCCATGACACTTGGTAATTTAAAGAATGTCTAAAATGTGGGGATAACCCACATCACCGCCAACAATTATGGTATAAGGTAAGAGTCAACCCCATCAGCTGATCCAAAGGCGAGCAGACAGTTCTACTCGGAGCGACACTAGCGCTCCGGCCGGAAAGGACCAACCGCCGGCAACCAGGTTTGTCTTGCTTGTACCACACACCGCAAAAGGACTCCTGGGTCTACTCTACAGTTAGTAAGGTACCCATAATGTCTAAGTAGTTAATTAATCTTTTGGGGGGTAAGGGGAATCATATCTTTTTCTAAATTAGACCAAGATCAACCAACAATAAATTAATTCAAGTAACTAAATTAAACTTTACGGTTATCGATATCATGTTTAGGGCAAGTTGCGGCAGGCGTTTCACAATGGCGAGGAGTAGTTAGAGTTGAATAAGATGTAGTTAATCTATTTATTTGAGACCTATCAAAGCTGGCTTATGCTGAGCAGGGTTTTCGTGAGTGCTATGGGGAAGTGGAATCAGCACGATTTTCATTAAGTGTGGATCTGGCTGGGTTTATTCCAGTCACGACCCCGCAAAAAATATCATGCCAAATCATGTATGATCATGCCAAATAAAACATGCTCCCTTAGGTATGATGTTTAATTCCCCATTCAAACAAACCTCTTTGTACATAGCTGCTCCTTTTTAGTTTCTTTTTCTTTTTCTTTTCTCCACTCTAGTGTTTGAAATTTTGAAAGTTGTCAACGAACGAACGAACTTCATCTTCATCTTCTTTCTTCATCCATCTTCCTTCCCTTCTCCTTCATCTGGGCCCTGTTTCATAAAAATACTAGTCTAGTAATTACTAGTCTAGTAAATACTAGTCCCGTATTTACCTGTCCTACTAATTTCTGTTTCACAAACGTTTTTATACCGCTAGTAAATATTAGTGTATTTTACTAGTCACGTGACCAAAACTACTAGTCACGTGACCAACTTTACAAGGTAAACTCTCAAAACAAATTTCTAACCTCAATCACGGGTTTTCAAATTGTTTTCATTTTATACAAAAAGTAAATAGTTGTAGAAATGCAGTGTTTTCTTTAAATTAATAACTATATAGACACATAAGTAAAACAATCACATACTATATATCAAACCGCTATTATTTATGTTCATCAATGAGCACGCCGGCGCGGCGTCGCGTCGCTGCAATCAACACGGTGATTGTAGTAGTAGTCGGTTGTAGGCCTAGTTGCGGCGCTCAACAGTTGGGTGGAAGTTGATCTGTTGCTGCCGCATTCGCACAATTTGTATAGTTTTTGTTTTATTCTGACATATAAAATTTAGCTTGCTATGAGTAAAGACAAGAAGGCTCAAATTTTGAATGTAATTAAATCGTCTAAGGACATTTTGTTTGGAACGTTTTCAAGTACCCTAACCTATGTTTTCAAATATTCGAATGCATAAGAATATTTGGGTTAAAAACCATTTGGAGATATTCTAATTTTGAGTCTACAAACCATGAATAATAAGCCTAAACGTTTATTGATGTAACAAATAATTGCAACGCCGTTACTAGCAATAGAGAAGTAGGTTTTCAAGTATAGTAAAACATGGCATAGGCGCTATGGCAGGGGTTAGCCGGTTAGCTCAGAGGCAGAGTTCTCGCTTGTCATGTGGTGGGTCCCTGGTTCAAATCTGCGCCACTCTACTTTTTATTGCATTCATTAAACTTTTACATGTTTTTTACATTAAAATAACAGCTCTAATCAACATCTATTTTTTGATTACTTTGAATAACAAATTCAGACTACCAAAATGGATTTAAAGTAATGTTTTTATGATAAGCAGTTCAGTTCAACGCCCAAAAATCAAATATAGGTCTACAAAATTGTTAGTACATCACAGGGTTTTAGCTATTTAGGGAAGCAAATAATAAGCACCTCAAAAAATACAATGCAACTCCTCTTTAAAATTGCCTTACTATTATTTCCTATTAAAATGTCTTTAAATAAAACCGAGAGCCTTAATTGGGTGTAAAATAATCTGATTAATGTTGCATTGTTGGATACATTTTTGTACATCTTTGTATGCAAAACGGTATGCGGTTTTAATTTGGTTACTCTCAAAGCTTAAAATTATTTTCTCTGTGATAGCTAAATAGTTTATATAACCATGAAATTTAACTCAAGTAAAATTAGACTAAAATTTCACAGAAATTGATAACTCATAATTATAATTATTCTAATAGGGCGATTGTACATACATTATAAAATTCAATTTCACTCATTTTGTACTACGCCACATTTATTGATAGTAATTTATATCTAATAATTATCATTTTAGCACTCACATACCTATTCGTGAGCCAATTCGCACTAGCAAAAATAACTTAATAAATTCATTTTTTTATGATGTGAGTAATGAAGGGTAACTCTCTTTCCAAAAATACTAGTCTACTTCAAATAATACGGGTGAAGAGAGGTTGGTAGAAAATAGCAAGTATTTACTAGTGTACCTAATTTACAAGAGTAAAACTTTATGAAACACATTGCTGTCTACACTAGTAAAAACCACTAGTAATACTAGTCCCTACACTAGTAACTAGTATTTAACACTAGTAGGTTTTTGAAACGTAGACTTGTAAAATACACTAGTATTACTAGTCCATGGACTAGTAAATACTAGACTAGTATTTTTATGAAACAGGGCCCTGGGGTCATTCCATGCCCATTCATCCAGGTCATGTCACCCATGATCTCAGATTTGGCTGAAATTTTTTTTATTTGTTCATTTGACCATTTTAATAAGATATACCAAGTTTTATAAAATTATCTTGAATAGTTTTTGAGTTATGAATTTTTGAAATTTTGCAAAATACGCTTATAACAGCGCTTCCGAGGCGAAAAGGTTCGGTGACGTTCTTATATACAAAAATCCATAACTTCTACAACATTTAACATAAAGCAATAATTTTTTCACCAAAATGATCAGAGAAATCAGAGGATTATAGAAAAAATACATTTGGTTGGTTATTTCTTCACATTTATATGTAATGCATTGCTAAATTTAAATTTTGACTTATTTTTTAATTTACAAACAAAAAATCTTTAAAAGCGATTATTGACCAAAGGCATAGCAGTAACCAAAGCAATTTTTTTTTTAAATTAACCCTAAAGATATAAACTAAAGTAATCTGGAATAAAATTAATGGTTTTTTACCAGCTAATATTTTTTTTTATTCATATAAGTTACAATATGGGTTATGGCGAAGAAATCCTATGAAATCGATAACCTGACTTTGCTATCCAAGTTTAAAACCTCTAATATTCATCCAATTGCAAACAACATC